ACTCTGAGATATTTTTTATCTCTGAAATGTATTTAAAAAACAAATTTCTTAAATAAATTAATGAAAATAGATATTTTAAAAAACATTTACAGTAAAATTTTCTTTAAATTATTATTTTTTTATCTAATAATATTCTAAGGATTTGCAATCCAAAACAACCCTGAATAACATAATTAGCTATTATTTATGTTAAACAACTGGTATTACACTTAACATATTTAATATGCAATTACATATACTGCACTTTTTAAACAAATACACTATTGGCATTAATTAATGATCTGGGATTACGTTGTTCAGTCATCATTGCCAACAGACTCGTCCACAAGGTAAACTTCTTTGATGGAATCTTTACAAGATAAATTATTTTCTATGAACAACAATATAAAATATAATTAAAACTTAAGATTATTCTCGTTGAGTTTTCTAACAATTATTTTGTTTTCAATTAAAATCGGGAGTGCGGAATTTATAATTTATTATAAAAAGGTTTAATTACACTTAAAGAGACAATCTTTATTCCCCTGCGAACCATTATATTATTAGAGGATCCATATCCCTATTTATTATTCCTAAAACCAATTCTCGCTATCATAAGCTTCATTTTCTTACCATATGTTATTAAAATTTGCAAATTTGCAAAGATTATGACCCGTAAAGAAATAGACGCAAGTTTAAATCTTTACAAATTGTGCGGCGATAAATCTTATGTCGACTTTTAAGAGTTTTTTATAATTATTAGCCGATTTAATACTGCGTGTGCTGAGGGCATAGCTTCCTATGGATTCAATAACAGAAATATCGAGTCTTGTTCTTGTTGTTGCATAACTTTTTTATCATATAACTAGCTGTTTTCCAAAGACTTTGCTCGCGTAAATTATAGTCTGTGTCATCCGCATATTATCTATTTTTAGGTGAAGGAATTTTCATAATTCGATAAGTATTGCCAAACACTAATAAACAAACAAAATTGTAAACTAACGATCTTTATAATTTTAGTATAGACTTATGTGTTTACGTTGAATATACCAATGTAGATACATATTGTACATATTATTGCGCAAATAAATACTTTGACTTTGACCATGTGCGCCAAATTAAAATGAAAAACTTTGTGATAATGTTGTTCCACGTCAAATCAAAGACGATAGTTTTAAACAAAATAAAACAGGATATATAATCAATTATTGTAATATATAATCAATTATAGATGAAATTATATTAGACAACTAGTAGGAGACATTAATATTAATAGTGCAAAAGTCTGACCTAGTAGGCTTTAACTGTAATATTATCATAAAATATTATATAGCTTATTAATAATTTATCAATTTCATTAAGGTTTGGGTTTCTTATTCATAAATTTAGATCATTACTAGGACATTAAAATATTGTAGTTATAATTATTGTTATTACCATAAGAACTTCTGTAATTAAATACACATCATTACACTAGTCAAGGTAGAGTTTTCTTTGATGTGTAGTATTTTATGGCGTGTGCAAACGAATATACAATTGTCTTCCAAATGATTTAACAAATTTTCCAAATTATATTTATGATTCATTAACGATGGATCTTAGATAGTAAAGTACCTATGAATATTTTATCTGATTTAGAATCAATTTTCTGTTGCAACCCTTTGCATACATAAAAAATCATAAAATTAACCTACATAAGGTATTGTGTCTGAAAAAGCTCATTGTTATTGACCGCTGGATTATTTAAAGGCCAAACAAAACATGTTTCAATTACAATTCCACACTGACAATGTAATTAGAAACTATTTCAGTTAGGTTTCAGCACTGTAGGGATAAAAAATAGAGGGCCTTATTAGGCTACAGAACTTTATATTAAATTTATTCTATGATAAATTATCTTATGATTTGTATATAAAAGTTAATAAAAATTAATTATAAGTTTTCAATAATCAGAGAGCTGACAGTGATTACTTGCCTTAGGAAAAATAGCTTAGTGGTAATTTTGTATAATTTTGCCATTGGATAATTTGGTAAATATTTGTGTACTTAAATTATAGATCAACATTTAAAAAAAAAATTAGCAATACTTATAGTAAAATTTCTCAAAGGATTTTTTTTTTACTGGAACTGGCAATAACAGTGTTCGTAAGAATTTATTCACAAAGATGTTATATTTTTATAATTTCTATTTGATTTATTAACCGCTGTCAGTGTTTGAATAAAAAGTTGAATATTTATATATGATTTTAAGATTTTGGCAATTACTTTTAGTTTTGAATGATTTTTAATTCGTTAGGGACATCATTTTTATCAAAAATTTTCATTATGCGATAGTAATAAACAGCTGGAGTGGTAATATTTTGTTAATTTGTGGATATATGTTTGTTTGTTGTTCTAAGTGGACAAGAGCTAAAGGGTTCACTTTATTTCTTAACTATTTTATTATAATTTATTAATTAAGGGATTTGCCATTATTGTGCTAAATTTAAATGGCCAATCCATTAAAATAATCACTTTTCATGTAACAGGTATTCCTGAATACTTAAAATAAATAATTTTCATTTTTATCATTAAGTAATACTCGTATATACATCACTAAATATGTATTTTAAATAGTACAGGCTCGCATTTTAAATTACATTTAGTGAAATGTTATTATTAAATCTAAGTAGTATTCACTTCAACATTAAAGTTAATGAATGCGAACTGTATTAACAGTTTGACTACGTAACATTAACTTTTACTTATGTAAATTATAGCGCATCAGTATTCAAAAATAATTATATACTTATGATTATGAGTAATAAAATAGTGTTACGTAGCCGTTGTGGAAGTACGCTCACTTAAATATAATTGAGTTAACAAAGTGACAATGTGAATAATGAAGTGTACGATTTTCTATAGGAAGAGACAGTGAATATTAAAATAGGGCATGTGCGAATCGGTTTCGTACAAAAAATCACGTTTGTTATAAAGGAGCCTCCTTAATTTTTATTTTGTTTTTAGTATTTGTTGTTGAAGTGGCAACAGAAATACATCATCTGTGAACTTTTAACCTTCGCGGTTAACTTTCAGTCCAACATTCACGGTTCATGAGATCTTCGTAATAGGATTCTCGTTTTACCATTCGGGTACGGAATCCTAAAAACAAATGTTTGATGAGAAGCGCATATAGGTAATTTTAGTGCTTGCCTAATATAGTTGTAATACCTTAAAATTCTGTGTGTACGTCTTTTTAATCGACTCGAAATAGAAAAGGTATTTTTTTTATGTATGATCACCGATTTTTCTTCAGATGTTTGACCGATATTTTTATTTGTGATTAATTTTCCATTTACAAATCTATACTGAAAATATTTTTATTTAAAAATGCTTAAGAAATCCACTTTGTCCCTGGCACTCTGATGTGGAACTCAAACCCATCACCTTTCGCAATCCGGGCGACTGCTTTAACCACTGAGCTATCCAGGACCTAACAGGACTGACGAATTTATTTTTGTTAGACAGCTAACTGGCCAGATATGGCCCATATATTTTTTTGCAAAATTGGATCATCAGTTTTGTTTTGCATATTAAAATAAGGGGTTTTATGTATGTTTAACGATTTTGCCGCGAATGCTTAACCAATATTCAAAAATCTTTTTTATTTGTTTGTATTATTTGTTTTTAAAAATTTGAGGACGGTACTATTTTTGAAAATGTAAATAATAACATTGTAAATATTAATTATGCCCCTAAATACGTGAATAATCAAAAAATATCACTATTGTGTGTCTTCTTATAATAAGTATTACAATTTTGCGTTACAATTTTTTATTTGTTATTGCGTTCCAACTTTGTACAGGTGTTTAAAAGACGAATCATAATTTCATTCGAAAATTAGCATTTTTCTATTGTTTATGTGAAGTATGTTCTCATAAATATTTTATATTCTACTCAGCTATATATAAAACTTTTTCCGTTCAAAATAAATAAATAGTATTGTAAGTATACTTCTTTATTCTATATTATATGCAAAAAAGGAGAGCCAAATCTTCAAGTTTTAAAATTTCTGTTTGCATAATTTGTATTATTAGTAAGAGTACATAAACTTTATTATGTATTTTTAAAATTATTTTAAAAGGCTGTATCATGTAAAGATTATCGTTCATATAAATTTATTTCAAGCTTTTAATAATCTTAAAATACTTTGTAGTATGCACATATAGGTAGACATTAAAATAGAAAAATAAGAATTATTTTAAGAATTACGGTTTCATTTTTATATTAGCATATTATCTGATTTATATGAAGCCAACGAATAATTATAAAGAGAACGAAGGACATCAAAACGAGAATAAAAATGCAAGAGGTATTTGAAATCAAGAATATTAACTAGTGTTTAATTATGTTAATGTGTTACTGAAGCGAAACATCTGAAACAGAACAATAGGTGATGAAGATGTAATCAAGATTAATAATGAAATAATATTAGTGAAAAATACTTCTTCCAACTTTATTTATTAAGTCATTTAAATATAAAAAATGTATTTTAAAATACCTACGCTAATTTGGAGTATAAGGGTGATGTAATATTGATATTTGATATTTACAATAAGTCGTGGTATTTATACTAATATTATAAAGAGAAAACTATTTTTTTTTTTATATATTGAAAGGGCTTCAAAGTTACTGGACCAATTTTTTTTTTCACTTACGGAGAGCTACATCATATGCGGGTGACATAAGCTATAAACGATGGCTAAGTCGCGGAGAAACAGCTATAGTTTATGATATAACGTATAGTATTCTTTAAAATAATGTTTACAAATATAACACACGTTAATTACGTAACTGTGATGAGTAAAAAACAATCGTGACATCTTAGCTGACGAGACCACACAATATAAATTAAATAACAACAAAAAATATCCTAAATTGTTGTTAAAGATATAAAAATAACATTACTGACCGTCAAACTGTCGAATGTCGCCTTGATTGAACACAGGTTTGAATATTTAATTTAATAATTGAATATGAGATTATTTGTTTCTACGGCAGGTGAGCGCGCGCGTCTTCGCCACGTGCGTGCGTGCGTATGCGCAGACAGTCCGGCGCGCAACTGACTCGAGGAAAACGCGCAGTTTTTCTCGCGGAAAACGTTCAGTTAATTGCGTTGCACCGATTTTTCTCTCTTCATAATGTTTAACTTTTTTGTAAATGAGCTAGGTAAAATACAGTGTTACAAATTTTGCTAAATTGTCTTTTTTGTCATATGGAAAATGAAAACGACTTTTCTTATTAACAACTAATATTATTCCCGCGACTTCACTCACGTAAATTATAACCTATTTCAACTGCGCATGATGTCACGTAAATTATTTCACCTTTCTATAGGTGAAATCATTTTCTAAATCGGATCAGTATTTTCGATGATTGCCCCCACTACGTAGAGTTCAACGCTATTTTTTTTTTACAGAATTGCAGGACTGGTGTAGATTTTCTCTATGAGTACAACTACATAGGGGATACGTATCATAACCCACCGCAAGTTCTCAGTACGGGTTGATTAGTGTTACAGGCAAATCAAGTTGGAGTGCAGAAATTGTCGGTCACCCATCCACTGGTGGGCCTTTGCTAAAGTTTATAATCTACAAAATTGCTGACCGTGTTTACTATCAACTTGACTATCGAGTTAGAATATGTATAAATATGTTATGTGAAGTCGCCTAGCTATTAACACATCAATATATATTATTATATACGACACAAGTTTTAAAGATAATTCAAGATTTAAATTCTCGAGCCCTTTATGCCTCATCAATAAACATGAGTTCACGAACAATTTGTCAAGTTGTTGTCTATTTTAAAACACGAATATTTTAGAAGAAAGCTTCGGTTGGCTTCTTGAAACCTCCATTGTAGTTTTTTTTATGTTAATGTTAACGTAATTTACTTGCTCAACTATTTCTTGACTGGTTTTAAGAGCTATTCGAAGTTAGGTTATGTGGAGCGGAAAGTCAGACCGCGAAGAATGTTTGAAATGTCTCGAAAGTAGGCATTCGCCAGTCATTTTCGTTTTGTTGACAGTCGCTGTGACACTTCCATTTTTGAATATCATCATTACTATAAATGTTAACACAAAATCTTCGTGTGTTTTTATATCGGGATCTATAACTAAAAACTTCTTACAACACTTCTTAGTGAGTTTAGAACGTTAGGGATAATATTTTAAAGCTTTTTTTTTTAATGACGCATTTTGGAAAGAGGTAGACAAACATTGAGTATCTCCATAACATATGACTTTGCAACTGCATTGATAGAACAGTGCTAATAAATCGATAAACTGTCTGGTGTGTATCAAAAAAGATGTATTTAGATTCTCTTTTTTTTTAAGATTTTAAACTTTAATGTCTCAGACAACTATTGAGATGTTCTATTTGTTAAAGAAACAGTATTCCATTAATCAGTAAATGACACTCTTTTTAAAATAGACATTTAAAAGTTTGGAAAATACTGTCCAATTCAATATGGATAACTACACCATAAATTATTACTTATACGTGTAGAAAGAAACATGTCTTACTATCATAACTTTTAGTAAAAATTTATTTAAACCATATAATTGTTTTTTTTTCGCACACAGATAGCAGCGTAGATAAATAAAAAAAAATATTTTGACCTTAAGAAAATAATGGAAGAGAAATGATCGATGATCATATGTTCACACAAGTATGCAAATGATTTAGGGTCTTTAGCCAACATATAGTGAGGTCACCGGCGCTGCGAACACCGCAAACAAAACCAAGTCATGTTGGGCCTACGGTATATGATATAGGGCTGTCACTTCAGCTTCACAGCTTACTTAGGTGGCATTTTAGTACTGACAGCAATTTTTGGATTCGTTTAACTTTAAACATGTTTTATATTATTGCATTACTTTATCAAGAATCAATAAAGTTTATTTTTGAAATTGATCTCTTGGTCTCTTTTTTCTTACTAAATATGATGTAGACGATTTTTTTGCAACGTTAAGGCTGGCCACTCTAAAGGCTAAATTGTAACAATTTAGGCTACTTTGTGCAATAGAATTGCTACCATTGGCAATTCAGTTTTGTAACTACATCATTTACTTAAAACAGACGTTAATATTTTACTCTTAATTTACTTTATAAATATGATATGATATCATTTAGATTAATAATTCAGTTCATATCTGTTCTTGTTATTATTTTTTATGAGGCAACCCTAGAGTTCGTATAGGATGACTAGTGGCATGTAAACGACAGACAATCAAACCATTACGGCATACTAATACACTCATTTGGTTTGGCGCATAGTTCGTGATCTATAGATCAAATGTTTGAGCGATCGAGTTCAGGATAAATATATTGATTAACGGTACTGTGTGATCTGATTTTATCTACGTTTAATTTATGTCTATTATTATTGTTTGTACTTAAATTATAAGAATATTTATGAATTTCCAACTTGATAGTTAAATTGGTTAGGTCTTTAAACCCTTATATTTACTACCTCGTCCAGGACTTCCCAGGAGCATATTATATTTTATGAAGCTAGGCTCTCCCAAGGCTACGAAACAGGTTTTTATAAAGTTCCCTTAACAGTTTAATTCATTCTTGATAAATGTTTTGGTGTATGAACTCACATATGATTCAATTGGATAGTTCAAGGTGTCTAAAAATGGAGCCCTTTCGTGATCTACAGACCAGAGTTCACTACAGTAAATAGTGTCTTTTTTAATTTTATTCTAAACATTTCCATTCTAAATCAGCCCTTTTACATCCCCACTGTCGGGGCTCAAGCCTTCCTTATGGATGGTTAAGGAGGATAGACCATGACCCTCCACGCCAGCCCAATTGGCCGCGGATTGGATGCGATTTATTTTGCGGCCCAATTGGAATGTATTAACGATTGCAAATTCGGCTGGGGCCAACGGCTTTACGTACCTTCTGAAGCACGAAGTAGCTCGAGTTACTAATTTTTTGGACACCCATCCCGTGACCAACCCTTGCGAAGTTTGCGTAACAACAACGATCGCAGGCCCCAGTGCTTATCCACTACGCCACCGAACTAGGTCGTTAGTTTATTAATGCGGAAGTTGTCTAACGGGCTATTATAAAAAAATTGCATCGCGAATTAAGTGCTTTTAAACTTACGATTTCAAGCTTATTTTATCTTCAAATCGCTACAAAAATTAAACATTGATGTTATAGAGGAGGAGAAAGTGATTATAATTATTATTTCAGGAGATTTACAGCTAATTGCACAGTTGTACATTGTTTAAAGCGACATTACCAATACAAATTTGAGATTCATTAGAGCTTAAAGGCGACATTAATCCTTTAATGGACATTTGTGCAACTGACCGATAGACATGTCAAATGATGTGGTAGACATGTTAATGATAATTTGTAAGTAGGTTAATGACAATGAGCGCAGGTTAATGACAAATGTGTACGAATTATACTGAAGTTATTAGCAAGTCTATTAGCGAGAATGAGTGTGGGTTATAAGAAAACTAATTTTAGGTTTAGATACTAAAAATACTGGCTGAGCCAAGCGCCTACGAAGTTTCAAAATCTGCATATTTGGTTCATAAATTAACTGCGGGCTGCCTAGTACTGAGAAAAATCTACAAGGAACTCTGCAGGATCGACGACAGACAAAATTGCAGATTATTTTTTTTGGGAGAGAATCATGATTCCTTGTTTAAGTATGCACTTAATAATATCCGAAAAATATAAAATAATAATCAAAATTGTTTATTTTAAACAGTTTTCTTTATTTTAAGAAAAAGCCTTGAAAATCCCGAGGAAAAAATTTAAAAGAAGTTAGTATTCCGTTGGATATAATATGAGTAACAATAAGATCTTAAATTATAATTGATACTTGGAAACCTGAATCTCTAACGAACAACCTACATCTTAGAGCAGCTGCAAATCATTTTTCATCTTTGAACGCGGAAGATTTTAAAATACTCCGAAGAAGGACTCGAAGATATTATTAACACCTTTCAGTACCAAAATATCAGTACCATTTCAATGAGACACGGAAATCACTTAGCGAATGAAGAACCTATTGTGAATCTAGCGTGGGAATGAGCTTAACGTGCTGTTTTTGTGACACAATGAACGAACTTATAGTATCCCATGCTACAGATCGACCTTAATCTTCAGTAAATAAGAGTCAATTTATATAATCTAAAAATTTCTAAGACAGGTGTTGTGAGGACGTCGCTTCATCAACTTTGTCACACGACGATTGACTTTTGTAATTACGTATGAACACAGACAATGTTTTAATTTGCGAAAAATTTTGCGTCAACATAATTTTGTGCTCAAATTACTTAGTATTGTCGAGAAAACAATGGTAGGAATTTGATTTAAGTGGGTTTGGGCAAAAATATGATATTCATAAAAAGTATGAAGTAGTTTGTAGGGATACTGATCCGATCATGATTTTTTTTTACCTACAGAAAGCTACGTCATATTTCGGTGATATAGGCAGTTATTTACTCCTTTATAGGTAAAGCCGCGGGAAAATAGGTAGTAAATATATCTAAAGATAAACACGATTTGTACACAAGAAATGAAATAAAGTTTACATTCTGAATTTTGTCAGTTAAAGTAAATAAAAAAGTTCTTAGACATATATAATCTAATACTATTTCGGGCATGAAAAAATCCATTTAATCAGACCTTCGAACATTCAAGATCAAAAAGACGTTGCGTCATTAATGTCTGTATGTAATCTCTTATAAAAATAATTGCAAGTTATTTGAATGGTAACAAAGCTTACTTAACAACGGACAGGGAAATTTATCACAGACAATATATTATTGTAGCGTAAAATTACACTAGGGTCCATTCACATAAGCTACCTTATCAGTTGTATATATTACCGTAAATAAGTTAGTATCGTTAGCTTGTTGTCTTACTAGAATAAGTGTAATCTAACTTAATGGTTCCTAGACTAGGAATAAGAACCGGCGTGGTAGATAAATCAGCTATTTTTTGGGGTAACAAAGAATCTAATAGCTAAAACAAAACGTAATAAAAGGAGGAGACTACCTCAATTGATATGACTATAAGACGTATTTATGCGAACAAAAAATTTCGATCTAACTGGTGAATTTAAAACAACAATAACCATAATTTATAAGGAAAGATATCAGTATTTGGCATTTACTTCTATTTGTATTACACGCATTTTATGATTAGATTAAAAGCAGTTTTCATAATGATTCAAAACAGGAACAGTAATGAAAATGGGGACTGATACGGGATCCCTTGACACAGGAAAACTATTTTTCACTTAGATCTTTAATCTTAGTTAAAAGCTGACAGTACCTTAATATAGCTAGTTTTTAAGACCATAGAAACGTTATATGAACACAATTATCATGATATGCTAATGGTTCGGATTGGTACAGAATAATATGTTACTGTCGTTGCGACTATTTTGTTAATAATTCCATATTAGTTATTTAAATATAATAATACTAATATTATATATTAAATAACCATAGAATTGAATATATTCTATTATTTTATTGATATTTATAAAAAAGTTTTACTTCATTTGAGTGCGTAAAATGTGAACGGACCTTTAGTGTATACGCGATCAAATGTGAAGCATGACGTAATTGTTAATTCTAACTATGATAGCGATTTATCATGTCGAATATAATGCTTAATGGCGGCTCGATATAGTGTTAGATTTTGGGAATGAAATTTTATATATTATTTTATAATATTCATAAATGCAAACATATGTATTAGATGTTATTTAACATGTTTCTTATCTTTAAAGAACATATTAAGTGTGATCCATTGATTTTTAATAAAAAGGTATGTTTTTATAATAGTCATTACGTGATGAGCTATTTATGTGTTAAAATGTGTCATTAATCATCAGATCAATAATTTTAAAACATTAACGTAACTAACGTTTTTTGTTAATTTGTAGATTAGATCTGAGTATGGATAATAATATTTAACTAAAGTAAACTTTTTAAACCGGCTTCAAAACAGGAGAAGGGTCCTAATTCAACTGTAAGTTTTTTTATACGCATTTCCTACTACACTTTCCTACTACTTTCCTAGTGTTTCGATTTTGTTCATTCTGTTTATATTCGAAAAATTTATTCCACTAATGTTTACTTAATAATCGAATCTCGATAGAATCTCAACGGCTTGCATTTTGCCCTTATACTATCTACCTGAAGTCCATGATTATTAAGGCTGCCTTCTCCACAAGTCAGTGATGACAGCTATATAATATAATATAATTATAATCTTATTAGAATTAAAAGAAAGAAACTACATTAGTTTTATATGAACGTCACTGATTAGCAAAGCAATCAGAATAAATAATATCATGTAGATAAACAATAATAACACTTCAATAATGAAAAAACAATTAATTCTCTAGCCATGACTGTGGTCATAGGATACGTCATTTTAGCGATATATCGTTTTATTATACTTTTATAACGAACGAATGATAAAGAATAAAGATTATGATCAAATACGACAGTGTGACAGAGTGATCGTATATTTAAAAAAATATATCTATGTAGAATATGTATCAATATATTTCAGTGCTAAACCTTGTTGTTTTAATAATACTGTATAAGACTAGAAATTGATGTGAGTCTTCTATTTCTTTTTAAATGGCAAATTTTTAACTGATATTTACAGCAATGACAGTGATATCTGATGTGACTCACGCTAGGCAGCGCTAGATGGCGTTAGTGACAAAGAAGGTTGGCGCCATTCCGTCAAACGAATAAAAAACATGTGGATGGTAAAAAACTGATTTGATAGAAAGGCGAGATGATTATTACTATTTTCAATTAATATCAGCGTTATTTAATGGGGTAGCTTCACAAATCAAATTATTATAACAAAGAAATGAAATAGATTATGGTTGATATAACTTTCCATATATTTAACTGGCATCTACGTCTCAGTAGTCGACATTTAAGACGCATATATATATATATATATATATATATATTTTAATAATACTCTTTACATACATTTTTAACTTTAAGTACTTACCGTATGAATGGGTTCGACCCGGGCCGGCAGCGCACGCGCAAGTTCCGGCGAGGCGGATCGCTCACGTTCACGCATTTCACTTGCGAGCGCCGCTCGTGCTGCTCTCGCCGCTGCTTCTAAGCAACCGCTTGATTTGCTCCTAAATATGTAAAAAATATGAATACGTGTATATATTACTGCATGTCTAAATATCTTAAACTTTTTTAAGCTCTTTAATGTGACAAAATTTAAACAAAGATATTTTGTAAAGTAGAGTTTTCGTAATCTATAGTTGAGTTAAATCTATACTAATATAGATACATTATCAACAGGAAAGATTTGATTGTTTGTTTGCAATGAAAAGACTCAGAAATTAATGTGCCGATTTTAAAAATTCTTTTACCTATAGGGGTGCGACAGCCTAACCTAACTCCCTAGCCATGGGATCCTAGCGAATATTATACCGATACTCATTTCAAATTACTACTTTGATATGTGTTTCGGTGGATAAATTTGGGATAAATTATAAAATTGTTTTCACAGCTGTCAAATCCGTATTCATCATTCTTATCGTTCGTTCTTCGTTAACATGTAATTTATTAAAGTACATGTTAAAGTCGTAAGATGAAACAAAATATCGTTTAAATGTCATATCTAATGGCTAGAATTATATCTAGAGGAGTTAAGCGGTTGCTCTTAAGGTAGCTACATCATACATGGGTGATGTAAGCTTTAATTGATGCGGGCGTAGTCGCGGGAAAACAGCTACTATTATTATAAAAATTGACATCTGCACTCATTCAACTTAACAATACTTAAAAGGAGGTCCCAACCTATGTACTGAAAATGTAAATCAAGTCAAAGTCAATAAAATATTTTTATTATTATTCAAACACTTCAGCTATCAACAGATGGCGCTAATGTTTTAAGCTGTGTTATTATTATTATTTATGCACTGAATTATGAATTTTCTTAAAGAAAAATAATATTATTTTACCTAATAGGCCTATCAATAGGGCCCAACATGGAGAGAGGTTGGTCGGGTGCTGCGGGTGCAGGGGGCAGATACATCACGTGACCACCCCATGACAAGTACGAGTTATTGGCACGCCACGCGCCGCTTTCCTCCTGACACAAGGAATAGGTAACATTGAATTACAATTTAACTATTATACTATATAACAATTAGAATTTAATGACTAATTCTATTTAAATTTCCAACAAATTAATGAAGATAAATAATAATAATTATTATTATTAATATAGATATACAATTTGAATAGTTTATTGTTATCAGACCCATAACTAAATTAAGTTAGTAGGTACTTGGTTTAAACACATCGCCTAAAGCAAATTGGCAATGACAATGAAAATGGCAATTGGAGAAGTGTTGACTTATTTTGGTCGGTTAATAGGTTACATCTGGTATTAATATTAGTCATCGTCTTATATAATAGGACGATTGAACCCTTGAAAAATATTTACGATTAATAATTAAAATATAGAACCATTACTTCTGAAATATTAACTTAACTAAATAAACTATAAATAGTAGTGCCGAAGTGTGAGTCACAAAAGCAAAAAGCACAGTGATTAAACAGCTAGGTTTAATATCCAGCCAATTAGATTTTTCACACAGTTGAAATTATGTGTATAAATCAAATAATGTAATACGAGTGTAGACAGTAAACGAAAACAAATACATATTATTATTTTTATGGTAGTGTTTAATATATTATTACCGATAATCACACTTTTATGCTTATTAGCTTTATAATATTGCTTAAATTATTTATGAAAAAATAAATATTTTATACCCGTTGTCACGTGACCGTAAACAGCATGTGACGTAACGACATTCTTATTAATATCAGAACTTAGATAATTCAATCTTATGCATACATAGAACGTTATTAGTTTCAGCCGTGATGTCATTGCGACGCCATGACAGTTTTGTAAACAAAATTTATTTTTAGATTCATCTTGCATGAATGATACTTTTTTAAATAATATAATGAATTATTAAAAATATAATGAAGTCGTCTACACTCATATTGCAATCGAATAGCGTGAAACCTTTTCGGACGGTGGTGTCTCTTCCTTGATGTCTTCTTCCACTGGCTTCCTTTGGAACAGCAGTGGATTACTCAAAGAGTTCGGTGCTGACTTTGTAAGGAACCAGTTCTGCTCCGGCTCCTGCAACATTGGCTCGTGTTCCAGATCAAACCGCCTGGAGCCGAGAGCTGCGCCCAAAGCACCCGACACTGATTTCCGCAACTTCTGCAGACTGTTGAACCCTTGTTGCAACGGCTTACCCTGGAAGCATTCGTAGAAGCACGACATCCCTTTAAACTATGAGGGGCTCGGGCTGTTCTATGGGGCTGGTGAGGAATAAAGGCCTAAAAGTTTCTGATGCTGTAGCCGTAACAGCAGAACTAAGAGGTAAAAATAAAAGGAATAAGATTTCCAGCTGTCTTCGGAAACAGGAAACAAGAGGTAAGAAATTAACATTAATAAAGAATATAGGTCAAGGCTCTAAGGTATAGCGGCACAAAAGCAAAGGTAAGAAATTATGGCATTTGAAAATGTATATATTTGGATGCAAAAATCCAACTAATGTGCTATAGAAAATTTCAATATTACTTTAATTTTTGGTAATATAATTTGGAAGTACAGATATTAAAAAGAAAGGTAATAAAATTATTGTACAATTTTAGAAATTCAAAGAGAACAGCCCGAATATAAATTATGCGTAGAGCGGTAGCAGCGCTGACGATAAGTTTGCAAGCAAGATAAAGAGAATAAGGTGCAAAAGTGTTAGTTGGTAGCAAGATTGGCAGTAGATATACTTCTTGCCCTTTACTCCTCAGCAGCAATTTGGGAGGTTAGGCGAGTAGTTTTTCCCGTTGCTTATTGTTAGTTAAATTAGTTATTGAAAACATATATCCAATCATATTTTATTGGTTTCGGATAGCTTATTGCATTTAGAGCGTATTTACCTCTGTCATCTGTTACTAGTTGATCTTTTTTGTTTGTAAATATATTCTATTAGTACCTCTGATGGTTTATTTATCCATGAATCTGCTACTCAATATTTTTCCTTTCCTCGATAACAACCATAGTCTGTATCATTAAAATAAAATTATAAGGTTTACCACTGGTTGCACAAACATCCGTTAAGGTTTAATGACGCTTTTAAGCTCTAATTAATGTCAAATTTAAATGGGTAATGTCGCATTAATTAAATAACAATTTTAATGGACGTTTGTGCTACTGACCGGTAGTGATAAACGATAAAATTAATGCATTCATTCAAGCCGTAATTCTTGATTAATGTTTTACGAGTATCTTGGTAAATTAAGAAAATTTATCATAATTGAATTGTCATAATAAACTACCCGAAACCATCCCAAACCACATTAAACTAGTCCCCTAACGTCCCAGGAATCATGGTTTATAGTCTCACCCGATCCTGTCCGTCTCTGGGTAGGGAAAGACTGAAGGGCTGGGCGCCAGGACTATAGGTGGCAACACGGCCACCAACTTGGCCACCTACATGGAGGGAAGTTCCTCCAGCTCCATCCGAACTGCTGTCACCGAGGTCTTGCTGTGGAGTCCATGCGGCTGGTGACGATTCTTGGGTCTGATAACACACAATATATTGGATTCCAAGAAAGTCTAGGGCAATGTTATTGATTTTTCTGTATACAAGACTTTTGATATACCTATAAAATTACAGGTGACAGGTATTTATGTAAAACCTTTTTCGGAGAATGGAATTCATACTGAATATGAGAGAATAGAGTAAAACAAAAACTATAAAAACTATTAATGCAACAACATTTTTTTTAAAAATAGAACCGATTACGAACTATAAAAAAGTGTTTAATAATACTTATCTTAAAAGCGACTTATTCAAGAAAACGCTATTGAAGATGGGTGGACGCTTTTCTTGAATAAGGCGCTTTTGAGATAAGTATTATTTACCACTTAAAAAGCTACATAATACGTGAGGGTTTTATAGAATGGGTTTTATGTGAGCTAGTTTAATAGAATTTGGTTCACAATTCAAGAAAAAATCGATGAATATATCTACTTTTAACATTTCTAAAAAAATATACATCAAGAAGTAAACTAAACATATTAGTTGAATATAGAAAATCCTCCTTTAAAAAGGATTACTACATATATATAAAACGAAAACTACTAATTCCATTTCGATAAAATTTAATTTATGTTTGAAAATCGACAACCAACTGATGGAAATATCGGTGAACGTACTTAAAACATACATCGCCGTCGAATAACCACCTCCTTTCCGATTTTGACGTCGGTTGAAATACTAGAAGTATAATGATACGATTGAGTTTCGTATGAAGATTTGTCGATAATACGTATAAATATTTTAAGAAAATAACAAAATGAAGTATCTTTGGTAATCACATTATGCCTGGAGGGTGAGTCCACCCTGTGGTCGCTATGTGCATGGTCACCCGAGATGCCTGAATCTCCCGACTTATCCACTGACTGCTCCGATCTCGGCGACGATTCAGCGGTTATATCTGCTGACATCTTTGTTTCCACAGCCAGAGGTTGAGTTTCTGCATATCATGATAATTCGCCAAATTAATTTATATTTATTAAATATATATATATTAAAAAACTTAAATAGGAGTCCTAAAAATTCTAAAAGAAAATGTTATTATTATTACCAATAGCTAGATGAGCGTCTAAAGTGGCAAGCTGCCGCCATGCCGCTGCTGGTGAAAAACGAGGCATTGAAGGCTGTTTTTTGGGCAAAGTAGGTCGCAGTCGTAGGGCAATACCCAGTGAACCGTCCGAGCCTTCACCTTCCGAGCCATCCGAAGATAAGGCTGACTCCGATGACACTGACAATAATAAAAAATATGATAGTGGTAAACAGATGAAGAATATATTATCCTAGCTATTAAGATTATTGTTATATATAAAAAATGTTTGTTATTTTAGGGATTGCTATCATGTACATCTAGTTCAATAATTATATGATGGTAACAATTCCGTTAATAATTGTAGGTAATAGTAATAAATAGCTGATATTAAATTTATCTTCTTATTTAATCTCCAGTATATTAAAAAGCTAGGAGGATATTCGCCTTTAAATCAGATATGATGGCGCAGTGACTAGCGCGCTCGGCTTGCGATACTGTTGTTAAGAAACTTTCGCAATGGCGGGTCATAGGATGGGTGACCAAAAATGTATTATCTCGAACTCCTCCGTACTTCGGAAGGCATGTTAAGCCGTTAGTCCCGGCTGCATCTGCAGTCGTTAATACCCACCAATCCACGCAGTGAGCCGGAATGGTAAGTCGTGGCCCATTATTCCTATTCGATTCGATTTCATACATAGAGAAGCCCTGTGCCCCAACCGTGGGGTCAGTAATAGGCTGGTGATGTGATGATGGAAAGAACTGTAACTCTAGTTAATTTTTTTGCAAAAAATGGAAAAGATGTTGTTTTGTGCAATACTTACAGTTTTTTACTTTACAATCTTCCTTTAATTTCGCATTGAATTTTTTGAATTCAGCATCTTCATCTATTTCTTCATTATAGCCTAATAGCTTCTTTTCGATTAGGTGGAAGTTACTGATCTCTTCAATGATGGGACTGCCTAGACCCGGGAAGTCTTTGAGGTGGTCACGTTTTTCAGTTTGCTTTGATTCAATCATACCAAAATAGAATTGTTTTGAAGGCGCTGTCTTTGATTGCCTGTGTAATAAAATGAGTAATGTTTTGTGTATTAGATCTAAGGTGGATCTTGTATTAAAATATAATCATATATGAATTCTTTCAATTCTAATATGAATAAAATTGAAAAAAGAAATACTTTTATGCATTGACATTAAACTTACTTATCGTGTATGTTTTCATGTGTGATGGCATCATTCTTTCTCGTTGGAGAATGTTCGGGTGACGATTCCTTACCAGAAGCTTGTCCTCTGTCAGGAATAGATCGACCATTTTCTTTGCTATTATATTTATGTTTACTAACTGCTGCAATATTCTTTGCAATAATATTAGTTTGTGGGGCTGTTGTTTTGGTTTTAGTTTCGTTTAATCTATTCAAAGGACGTCTGTTATTTATTAAGGCTTTTGTATCCTGTTTATTGACGTTGCTTTTCGTATCTTGTTTATTAACAACGTTTGTTTTAAGACTAGACTCTTTGACTTTACTCTGGACTGTTGATTTCGTTGGGTTTGGTTTTTGCGTACTCGATTGTTCATTTTGACTAGTTTTATTTTCACTAACATTAATTTTATTGCCTAATTCGTTCCTAATTCTATTAGTAGCCTTTTTGAGTTCGGCTTGGAATTCATCTTTTTCTTCATTATTTTTTAATAATAGTGAAGGAAGAGATTTTCTCATAGGCTTACTACTATTAGCTAACGGACTGAGTTGACTGCTTTTTAATTGGTCACCTAAACTTTTAATCTTATTTTCATGTATGGCTGGAGAGTCACTTTCTTTTTTATTCACTATTAAAGTATTATCGAAAGTCTTTTCTCTCCTCAGGGACGGCTGTTCACTGTCTTCTCGTTTGAATCTTTCAGAATATCTGAAATTTCTATTAAGAAGTGGCGTCTTCCACGCTTCACTTTGTTCGATAGTTTTGGATGTTTTCGCTCTACACCCACTCACTCTATCGATTCTCGTTTTTTTATAATCCTGTTTCGTTTGTAATATTCGTTCTTCTCTTTTAAGTGACGCGTTTGTTTGCACCATATCTTTGCTGTCAGGATATTTGTAATGTTGTTCTTTATCTTTACAAGGTGATCGGTATCGTCTTTCAAAAGCTTGATTTTCATTGAAATCCAAGGATCTATATTCTGTTATTATATTTTTATTTCTATAGATTGGCAATTTATTATCTACTTGACCGTTCAACTTTTTGGTTTCATTTCTGGTTTTGAAAAGCCTCAATTTTCTTTGGGGTTCTAATCTCGCGTTTCCTTCACTGGAATCAGGTGAAGAACCCTCGATAACCTGAAATAGACGGTGCATTTTAATAGAATGTTTAATAACAAAATCAATTGATAATTAAATTAATCGATCAGTCACTTACGTCATTTGTTGGAGGCGGCGGAGCTCTGTATTTTTTTCGGAAATGTTTATTACATTTTGGTTTTTGTTGTTCTTCCTCAATTCTCAGGTCAGGCTCTGATCCAAATCTTTTATTTAAATTGCTATCTGTAAATTTACGAGAATATTAAATTATATTCGTAAAATTTAATATTGTATTATAAAATTTATGAGTAGTATACTTACTGTCATTATGCCTTAGATCAAGGTTTGTATGTGACCGATGTAAGGGATCCCGTTCTCTAGCTCGTAACTCGCTATTATCTCCAGGAGCTCCCGCCGAACGAGATCGGTACATGTTAGCGTGCTAGAAATAAAACAATACATATTATACTTTTTAAACAAATTGTGTTTATATAACAAGAATAGTAATTTTTCTTTCGTCTGATTGATTGCATTATACTAAATAAAAAAAAAATTTTTTAACTAATATCTGATCATCAATTAACAATGGATAAAATTCCATTGGTGGTACATAACCCACCTCACAGGCTTAGAGCAGATTAATAAGAGCTCATGACTAAAGACACCTCTATTACTGACAGCTTTATATGCTTTCAGAAACACAGTTCAGCATCTTCATCAAGTTCTTATATCGATGTTAAATGATCTGTAGAATAAAATGTTTTCATAAAATTTACGCACCACATGTCCATGGGGCACTCTGGTGACATCATGCATTATGGAGACAGGTCGACGTCCACTGATGGTGCCACCAGATTGCAAGATCGCGCCGTTGTCAGTGCTGCGAAGCCGTGGTGACTCCGGCAGCGACGGTAGAACCTGAAAATTTAAATCGGAAATCTAAATATTGTATCTTAGCTATCTATTATTGCAATTAAATAAGCTAGTAACATATAAATTAGGGCAGTTGTCAATTCCTCTGGTTAAGTAGTTCATTTTTTTCCTGATAGCTGTAGTGGTATACCTAACTGATTGTCAAGATTCAACGCATATCTGAATATATACGTAATATATACTACTTCCATGACGTTTGACTGATCATGCTTCAGATATATACCGAAACTTGTTTATATTATCTTCAATCGATATGCTACGTTTCTATCGATGGTTTCTTTAACTTTATTCTGGTGATTCAGCTACAGTTTCCTGTATCTTTTACCCAGAGGAGAAGTTATCAAGGGGTCTTTAATTATCTAATAGGTCTTCGAGGAACCATCCTGTCTTTTAGTCTGTTGAATTGGCTCGCCGAGATTAATTTAACGGGATAAGAGTAATGCATTTTCCTGATGATAAAATTGCGGTTTCTTTACCTTGGGTGCATGCCGTGGCGGCTCATGCGGCAGCGTGTGCGCACGTCGCGCCCGCAGCGGCACAGCCGGCGCTGGCTGGCTGCCCGCCTGACCCATAACGGCTGACTACACCCACCGTCCCATCTGGAAACAAAGGGAAAAGTGTCAATCATATACAGATCATCATACTAGAATAAGAGCGCTTATCTGTACTGAATATTTAGTCCGTTAATCAGGTAATAGAAAAATATTAGACACGTATTTTTTTTACTTCAATTTAACAAGAAATAGCTTAGATAATAGCTATTAAAGTGGAGGAGTGGGGGCTCGATACGTCACAGTTTTGTAGAAAATGTACCATAACGTGACGTTTTAACTCAATAGTACCTATATGATAAAAAAAAAAAAAGTGTTTAATATATTTTAACAATCTACATGACGGACAAAAAACAAAAATTAGTCGACATCCCTATTATTTGTTGCATTGATAAGCTCCGAAATTATAGAACCGATTTTAAAAAATTTTCACCTACAAGAAGCTACATCATCCGCGGATATACGCTGCGCTAAATTTTCGCAGGCAAAGTTGCGGAAAAACAGCTGATTAGACGTAAAGTTGGACAATGCCATCCCATTTACTCATATTCTTTATATCGTTCGTATACAACCTTTTTTAGATGTTCTATTTAATTCGAAATTCAAACTATGTTAAGGATTAAACTGTCGAGGACTAAATATAATACTAAACCAAGTATTTTATTCTGAACTAAACATTGGCTGCTTAAAGTAAACTATACTATAATAAAAACGTAACCGATCGATGTCTGTACATTGAAGATATGTGAAAAAAACTGTTATGAGGGACATTTATAAGCGTAATAGAACCCAAAACAATGATTTTTACATTTTTTGTCTGTTTGTCGGTTTGTCTGTTTGTCTGTGCGTTTGTGCACGATAATCTCAGAAACGGCTGAACCGATTTAAATGCAGTTTTCACTATTATATTGTGGTATTCTTCCGTTAACATTTAGTGTAAGATTTATTTCAATCGGTTCACAAATAAAAAAGTTATGTCAATTTGAAGTGACGTGGTCGGCAAAATTGCTATGAAATATTAACTGTTTTATTAAATTTTCGTCTTTGATATATTGATCATCATCATTAACTCTTTAACAGCCAAACTGCAGGGCCTTAGGCCTTTGTTTAATAATTTTTGGTCACCCATCCCGTGAGCAACTCTTGCAAAAATTGTTTAGCAATATCGATCGTGCGCAGTGGCGTTTATCCGTAGCGCCACCGAGCTACGAATTAATATTGTCTATAAAATGATAATTTGTATGATGAAAAATAAAAAAAAGATTCCAAAATTTTGACAACTCCAAAGTAAGTTGCTCATTTATAAATTGCCAATTTAATATAAATAGGGTTCAGGTTATAATGGACGTGTGGTATACGATCACGCGAGTAGGAGAACAAGCGAAAAGAGCCTTCCGATGATGCAATTAAGCATCGAGTAGTTTACAGTGAACGCATATTTTTATCAGATTAGGTTCACGTCGTCGTCGGGGCCAGCGGAGGTGGTTGGCAGCCCCCGCATTGCACGGTTTCGTTTGTCTGGGAAAAGCACTCGATTTACCCGAGCCTCTCCAATTTTCCATCTGCAAGGGGACCAATGTCAAGTCCAATACTTGAGTGTTCATAGCTTGCCGGTTATCATCTCCCATGAGACGGTGTCATCATCATCAATATCATCAGCCCTTTTACGTCCCCACTGCAGGGCCTCAGGCCTTCCTTATGGATGGTTAAGGAGGATGGGCCATGACCCTCCACTCTGGCCCAATGCGGATTGGAGGGTATTAACGACTGCAAATGCAGCCGGGACCAACGCCTTAACGTGCCTTCCGAAGCACGGAGTAGCTCGAGATAATAATTTTTTGGTCACCCTTCCCGTGACCGACCCTTGCGAAAGTTGCTTAACGAAAACGATCGCGGGCCGCGGCGCTTACCGACTACGCCACCGAGGGTAGTTCACTATCGGGTTCACGGAGGAGAATCCTACTCACCCTCTGTGGCTTGCTCCGTAGCAGAGACAATGTCAGAAGCTTTTCCACGACGTTAAAAAACTTAGATTCACGTCAATTGAAGTTAAGAAGGTAAAGACAACTCGATTGATTTTTTTTTCTATTATTACAATTTTTTATGTAATAATAATATTACTTTTGTTTTTTTTAACATACAAATTTGCTATAGATACGTACTTCAAACTTGGTATTTTCAGTCTTCGCCGGAAACAATGGTTTATTCATTTGTCACAACACATAATATTACGCGATTCTGAGGATCGGTTCAGAGTAGCTCGGTGGCGTAGTGAATAAACGCCATGGCTCGCGTTGTAGTTGTTAAGCAACTTTCACAAAGGTCGGTCACAGGATGGATGACCAAAAAATATTATCTCAAGAAACTCCAAGCTTTGTAAGGCACGTAAAGCGATTGGTCCTGGTCGTATTTGCAGTCGTTGATATTCTTCAATTCGCATTGGGCCAGCATGTCAGAAGGTCGTGGTCCATCCTCCTTAATCCAAAAGGCTCCTGCTGTTGGTGACGTAAAACGGCTGATGATGATGTTGAGGACCGTTCAAATCTGACGGAAGCTCAGTCAAGCACGTCTCGGAAGTACGTGTTAGTAGACGATTTCCTTCGAGTGTGGAAAGTCGAAATTAAAATATGTATATATTATCATTAATAAATAAAACTCAACGTATCTTCCGTCGGACATGTACCGACCGACTTTTATTGACAAAGAAAGAGATTTGACGGAAAGCGTTCGGTCTAGGGAAACACCTGAATAACGCGAAGCGTATTTAACTACCCATCGAGAGGCTCATGCACTATAAAGTTGAATCTGAAGCATTTACAGTCAGGGACAATCTTTTGAGCTCTCGGAGTACTCATATAACAAGCGTTTGATCTCAGGAAACTTCTAAAGATCACATAGCGCGTCTAACTGCTAACCGTAACATACATGCAGTATGGTATGAGTATGAAACTTCCTTTGATAGAGAAATGCGCTTGGTCTCTGACAGAGCTCACAGTTTACACAATAGAGATCGAGAAAGTAGTTTCGATTATCGCCAACCCGTGTTGGCTTCATACTCCACAGGGTTACCGCAGATAAGTTTTCACAAGATATAATGAACTAGCTGTTTTCCTGCAACTTTGACGCAAAATTATAGCCTATGACATCCGTGATGTAGCTTCCCGTAGGTAGAATCGCTCTGAAACTATCGGTCCAGTAGTTTTGGGGCAAATTCGATACAAACAAACAAACAACCAAATCTTTCCTCTTTATAATATAAATATATATCTTAGGTATAACAGGTCCTATGGCATAGTGGGTTAACGCATTCGGCTTAAATTGCAGTGAAATAAACAAGGACATACTTGAATACTTATTTTACATAACTAAGTACAAACGACAAACTCATCGCTAGCAAGCGATTTCTCTCCAGGCAACCTAGCATTACATGGAAAATAGAACAATAAATAGCCGATTGTGCATACAACTAGACAAATAATAATAATTTAAAAATATCAAAAACAAAAGAAGGACAGTTACAAGGTACGAATAAAATTCTCAGACACAAACGACAACCAGAGCGCGAGAAACGAAAAGATAGAAAAATTACATTCGTAAGGACAGGATAGGTAACCAAAACATTATTATCTTGAGCACTGTGCACAGCACTGGCACAATGCACGTTAAGCCGTTAGTCCTGGCTGCATCAGCAACATGAACACCCACCGATCCGCATTTAGCACAGTGGGTTATGGCCCATTGATCTTATTCGTATTAATAATATAGTCACCTAACCTGTTGTCTGAGTTTAGCGGTGTTACAGCATAGGGGTTCATTGAAATAAAACTATTATTAGCTTTAGAAGTAGATTTAATTTGATTTATCTTTTATGATGTGACAGCGATGTGCTTAAAAACCAAATTAGGTGATCTATAACAAACATTCTAAAATAAAATTAATAAACATTAAAAGGGTAGGTAACGTATTTATTGTAATGTAACTAAATAATACTATGCAGAGGCATAATAAAGACTTTTTTATTATTTAAAGGAAGTATTAATGTTAATTTAGTAATACGAGAACCGAGCTCTTCTAATGATAAAATGAAACGAATGCTAATGGTCAGTCATATAATATAATATTTAATTATCAATGGACTGAAATCCTCGGATTATCATAAATATTTATGGTCTTGGATAATTGTCGTTGGGAACTAACTTTCTTTAATTTAATGAGATTGTAGAATATTCATAGCTTGGATTCTTTGATTAAAAGAATAGTTAATTTTAGTTAGTTGGTTTTAAACTTGTTTGTGGTTGGCTTTTTACCTGACTGCAAAGAAAGGGTTGTGTTTTTTGCGCGTATCATGTATGTATGTAATATTTTTGATTAGCGCATATATTCAGAATCTATACGGATTTACATGGTCAAGGTATCAATAAATAAGTCAAAGCAGCCCAAGTGTTCTTAGATAGGTGAAGTTAAAATATGGCGGCTATGCAACGCCATTGTAATTAATGATATTCTTTGTTTCAAATATTATAATATGGGTATTAAATTAAAGGGCTCAATACAAGGATTTTAAAAAGTATGGCATGATGCATGTGAATGCCTCCGAATGCATGTTATGTATGATGTCGCATAAAATTCGTATTTTGTTTCAACCGTTTCAGTTAGTTGTTTTTCACGCAGGCGGGCTTTATGTTTTTTTTTATTAAAAAAATATGTATTTTTTTGTTATGAACGATTTAAGAAATCTAAATTAAAAAAAATTCAAACATTTGGTGACTTTACAGGATATGAATTCATTATTAAACATTTAAACATCTTTTTATAAAGAGTATTTTAAATATGACGGGCGGAGGTTTTCTGTGGGTTATTAATTAAATGATAAGCGTCCGACTACAATAGTATTTTCGTGAATAAGTCGCTTTTGAGTTAAGTATTATTTAACACTTATTAAAAGTTTGAAGTAGGTTCTACTTTTCAAAAAAATGTTTTAATTTTATGCTTATTAGTGATATTGATAGTTTTTATATAAT